ACGATTGCTTTGATTCTATCCTAGTTAGGATACGTAGGCAGAAGATGCGATATCTTTGTGAGCAAACTTAGTGTATATATCCTTAGGTCTTAACTTACATTTTTTTATCCAATCCCAATCCATAGCAAACACTTAGCAAACTTAGCCTACAAACAAACAAAAGGTTCCTGTAGAGTACTACAGATGTTTAGGATGTGAAATACCTACCCTATGCATAACCAACCCCCAATCCCCGAATCTCTTAGCGTTGTTGTTACATCGCGCAAAAGGTTCTTTCTCTCTTTAGACCTTTCCTTTGGATAAATTAAAGTCCGGTTGTAAATTCAAAGAATTAAAGATTCAAGTTAATCAATAGCTTGGTATCACGATTCTCACCGCAACAAAATAGAAAACAACATAAAGAATAACAAATCACCATCCTTCCCGTGTTACGTATCAGAGCGACTCTTAAGACTCAATCACTAGCAACATAGGCTCCAAGCACTACTCAGGTACCTGATTATATGTACTCCCCAAGGAGCACATACACAACAACAGAAAATGGGTGAAAATTACATTCAATAATTATACGATGAAAACCACATTCTAAGGAGTAGTATTCACACAATTCACATCAATCAAACAATCATAACGCACATACAAGTACCACATCAACACTTAGCATATTCAACCTATGTTCAATCATACATATATGCAATGTGACTCGACTGACACTACATCATGCATGCGGTACCAACATAATCCATACGGTCCATTCTTTGAACCCGATTCCCGTCGGAAACTGGATAAGTCGTATACATTCCTCTGAACTACAACTTATCTCCACTCGACTCCCACATGGAGTCCGAACGAGACTAGGCACCCATCATGGATTCCCACCTAGACTAATCTTCACATAACACGACATGAAATGCATGACATACAATTATGCATAATACCAATATCATTCATGCATAACACACGATCCACAATGATCACACGTGAGCCACATACTCACCGTAATTACCTCTAAAATTACCATCCCTGCCCAAGACTGTTTACATAACAACAATCTTATCAACACTGGCATCAATCACACATCACATAACAATCCACACATAAATTCCATGTTTTACCATGTTTACTATCATTATCGGTTTCCTTATGTCTAATTATGTCACATTAGTCTTACGAACCAAGAAGAATTACATCACGTGCGAAATCAGGGAAGAAATCTCGAAAATAGGAAAATCACGACACAACCCTATCCATACATGTATGGCCTTGCCCCATACGCGTATGACCTTACTTCCTCGCAAAAATCCTGCGTACAATATACGTAGGGCTCCCAAGTGCTAGGCCTCATACGCATAATGTCCAGGCCTTACGCGTATGACCAGAGGGCTATTTCCCTTCAAAACCCTCCCAAGGACTACCCATACGCGTAATGAGCTTGCCATATGCATGACTCTCACTCCCGTACACGTACCTTACGCGTAATAGCAGAGGGCTGTGCTGACCATGGGGACAAGAGCGTACCATACGCGTAACGCCCCGCGTATGGTCAGTCTCTGCACAAAAAAAAAACTAGTTTTCGCATCAGTGCGATTTTTCACCCATTGGAGCACCTCCAAGCTCCTATTTCTGACCCAAAACAACACATATACCAGTTTATCATCCAAGGTTTTACTCTACTTCATTAACCTATCATTTTATTAAGGTTTCTTCGCAATTTGAATCACATTTTTGTCATATCCCAAAAACCCATTTTCACAAAATCCATTTTTATGGTAGAACACAACAACAACACCCAATTTACACGAAAAACCATACCAATATCAGTACATAAACACGAATTCACAACAACAGTCACACAAATATGGGATTAAACAAGCTAGGAGAATAATACACATAAAATCTTAAGAGGGAAATGAACTCTCACTACCCTCCCATGTTCTAATCACCATTAATGAACTATTCTTCCCCTTACCTTAATTCCAAGCTTGATCTCTTCCTAACAACGGTGGAAACTCTTGATCTCCTCCTGCCCTAGCTCTGTTTCTTTCTTCTCTCCTTTCTCTTTTCACATGAAAACTAACTTTCCTAACTTCCTTACCACTACTCCCTGATTATATCTATTTTCCTTAGTTCCAATAATAATAATATTATCATTATTATTAGGGACAACTATTCCATGTCATTAATAATAATAATAATAATAATAATAAAATATTCCATCATCATTAATATTATTATTACCATAATATTATTCTAAGACTTATTCTAATTAATTCATTACAATAAATTCTCACACTCATCCTTACACACATACCCTTAACTAAGCAATGCCAGAATAATTAAATGAATAAAATCGCAAAATGATCAAATATTTAAATGGGGTGTTACAAATGACTTGTACCAATTGGTGGTGGAGGATGAGTTGTTCCTTCTTGTACTTGATTTGAAACAGTTGGTGGTGGTGGCTGATTTGTTGTTTCTTGTACTTGACTTGAAACATTTGTTGCTTCTGGTTCCTGAGTTGTTCCTTCTTGTACCTGACTTAGAGAAGCTTGTGGTTATGGTAGTTTATGGGTGGCCTTGTTGTGACCATCCTTGTGGCAACGACTACACTTGATACCATGTTTTGCCCTACTACATGTATGTTTGTCCATAATTATCCTCAATTTCCAAGTCTCTTCACCTTTTATATTTGCACAGTAAGCCTCTCATGGAAAACATGCCTTACATTTTACTCTCATCCTTGCTTTATCATTTTTAAAAAAATCCAGGTTCCTTCCTGAATGTATAACATATGTTCTTATTGCCTCTTGAAATACATCCTTTGTAGAAAAATATGTACCAAGTTTCCATTTGTAGTCTTCCATTCTTTTGGGAAGCTTAAATGTTACAAAATCATCCTTTACAATCTCATCATTCTCACTATCATACTTATTATGCAATTCATCACTATCATACTCCTCAACGTCACTTAAACCTCTCAAATTTTCCAGATTGACCTCACCATCATTATCAGCACCTTCATTCATAACAAGGACCTTTTCCTTACCTTTCCCCTTGCCATTTGCCTTGCCTTTTTTCTTACTTTTTCCTTTCCCCTTACCTTTCCCCTTGCCTTACTTTTTCCTCCCCCCTTACATTTTGTATTCACTTCATCCTCATCCATTGCTATCTCTCCATCAATACTTATATTATTTTCCGAGTCTTCAAAATTGACATTCAAAGCACTGTCTTCACTTCCATCTTCTGTCACATCTCCTTGGTTACAGCTAACTACCTCATCTTCTTGTTGGTTACAATTCAGTTATTCATTAATTCCATCTACTTCAACATTCATCCCTTGACCCACATTATCCTCACTGACACAGTTGGTCCCCACATTATCCTTATTATTATAGTTTGTCTCCTCTTGAACCACATTCTCCTCAATTTCATAATTGGTCCCCACATTCTCCTCATTTTCCTCAATTCCAACATTCTCCCCAGCTTCCTCAATTATTGTCTCGTCTTTCATCACATCTTCACCATTGTGGTCCCACCTTAATTATTTCCCATTTTAGGCCCTTCACCAACCACATTTTCACCCATTGTGGTCTCACCTTGATTATTTCCCATTTTAGGCCCTTCATTAACCACATCTTCACCTATTATGGTCCCACCTTGATTATTTCCCATTTTAGGCCCTTCACCAACCACATCTTCACCCAATGTGGTTCCATCTAGTAGTGAGAGTATATGCTCCTCAATACCATCAGGTTCGGATACAAGATGTGTAACATACAAATGACATTCCCCAATTATTACTGCAATTGTTCTCATCCTATTAGTCCCCTTGTCATTTTCTAACAGAACTATATCATCAAGATACATGTCATCATAATACCAAAGCCTATTTATAGTAGGGTAACCTAACTCTTTTAACTTGTCCAATATTTCAAAGTAACTCCAATAATCAGGATTAACATCCTAAATTTCCCCTAACCCTACATAACCTGACTTGGTAAAATTGGCAAACTCCCTAGAGAACTCGCCGAAATGATGAACAACACATTGAAACTTACTCTTCATAACCTAATCAACTTACATATGGTAGTAGAATTATTAAGTAAGTTGCGTAAAGAAGAAAGTTAACATTTTTAGTAACTTACTGTTGCAAGTTCGTACCTTAGGGTTTCTTCTTCAAATGATGGACGGGTGCAGATCGTCTTCAATAGAGGGTTGTGAACAGTGTCGTTATCGTTTTCAATGGAAATTGCGTTGTGAATCGTCTTTGTTGTTTCTTCTCTCAAGTTGTGCTTTCACGAACATTGACCTAAGCCCTAATACCCTTCAGCTTCTTCTATTTGTCATTTGTAATATTTTAATCAATATAATATAAATAAATATTCCAACTCAGTCATTAAAAATCCAGCAAGACAAGTTTTAATTTTTTCCTAACAAAAACTAACAGAAAGTACTAAAATCTGTAATGAAATATAAGTTAATGAATCACGGTATAAACTTTTTTTTAAGGGACCAACAAGAAACTTTGAATAAAATTAAGAGAAAAAAAAAGGAGGTATTAAATTTTTTTTTAAAATTGAGATTATTTAATTCTAAATTTAATGACCTTTTCTTGATTAATTAATATAATGATTAAATTTTAAAAAACCATTAAGACAACAAGTAGTAATAGTTTTATTAAAAGATTCAATTCAATAGGTAAGTAAAATAAACAACACAAAAAAAATAAAGAAATAAAAAGTAGAAGAAAAAGAGTATGAAAATAGCAGTGCCGACTAGTGAGTGAGATTTCCAATTTCCAATATCCAACTTGATGATTCCGCGTTAGCTCATTCTGCACTTCGATTTGATTAATCATTCACCAAAATTCTCTTCCTCTTTCACTCAAATCTCAATTTCACAAAATCTGAATCACCACCACCAACAACACTTCACAATTCAGATCTACCACAACACAAAAGGAAACAAAATCAACTTCAGTTTTTCTCACCGCCCTCAAAATGGCGCGGATGCGGATACCCTTTACTTCACTTTTCTTATCTCTCATTTTCGTGTTATCAATTCTCAACCTTGCACACTGCAAGACCCTTAAGCGTGATGGTAACGATACCTTTTATCAATCTTTCTCTGATTCCGGTTATGGGGTTACTGTTTTCGCTTTTTTATTTGATGGGTCGAAATCGTTGATGGGTTTTTGTTTTGCAGTTAAGGCTTTGAACGAGATCAAGGCTTCTTTGGGTTGGAGAGTAGTTTATGCTTGGGTTGGAGATGATCCCTGTGGTGATGGTGATCTTCCTCCTTGGTCTGGTGTTACTTGTTCCACTGTCGGTGATTATCGTGTTGTAACAGAGCTGTGAGTATTTTATATTTATCCGGAAAAAAAAATTAGATTTTTTCTTTTTTGTGGAATAAAGTTTGATTTTTTATTTTAGAAAGGTTTGATGTTTTTGTGATTGTTATGGATTAGATTTGTGGTGTTGTCGTTGGTGTAATTGGGATTGGTTTGTTGTTAATTTGTAGTGAGGTGTATGCGGTGTCGATTGTTGGGCCTTTTCCTACTGCTGTTACCAGCTTGTTGGATCTTACACGGCTGTAAGTATCTTCCTTAATTTATGTTAACTTATGTTTTGATTCTTGGAATTGATTGAAGAGTGTGCATTGTTGCTTGGAATTTGTATCGTGATCCTTTGTGTTATGGAAAATTGCAATCAGAGACGACTGATTCCGCCTCAGTTGCGGCAACTTTGTGGTCATGGAGACATAAAAATCTCAATGACGAGTTGTTTTTTTAAATGAAAAAACTTAGGCGCCGTTCTTTATACGCCGTTTTTATGTTCCCTCATATACAGTTTAACACATTGATTGTGTATACAACAGTACAAATAAAACCATTTTTGTTACCTGAAAAGTTTAATCTGTGTGGCATGTTATAACTGGGGAACAACACAAACAACACATATTGAACAGTACCAAAGGTTTTTCCATTTTCAGGAACCGTGCTTGATACATGTGGTTGTGTTGGAATCGGATGCCAATTAGGGTGGGAGGTTTGTAGGTGAATGTTGGTCATGTACTTTTGCAAAACTATACGGATTTAACTGGTTTGATAAAATATAGTACCTTGGAAATGGACGGTTAGGTTCCTATTGTACAAGAGTATACTTGAAGAGTTGTTTGTGGTGGGGGGCCATGAAATTAGTCTGTGGTATGATGTATGATTGAAGTCCAAACGATTTTCTACTCTCGTGACTTTTCATGTACATAGCAATTTTGGAAAGATTTAACATAGAAATGAATTGAGCATGTGTGCAATTGTAGGAGATTTGCGTTAGCTAAAAAGACTATATAATTTATTCAAGAATTTAATAATTGTGATTTGTTTTTGTGTTGATTTGTCTCTTATAAGTAATAAATGGAAGATTCGGGGACACATGTTAAGATGACATATTGCTTGCTTAATGTTTCTATACCTTGGTTTTCTTTTTCAATGCATTGAAAGATTTCCAGTTTACTGCTTTCTTTCAAGCTCTTAGTAATTGAATTAATATGCACTTTTGGCAGGGATCTCCATAATAACAAGTTGACAGGGCCTATTCCTCCTCAAATTGGTCGGTTGAAGCGTCTTAAAATACTGTATGAATTTTATAATCCCTCTTAGATTCTGGTTTCTCTTTGTTTTATGATTTGAAATATGTAGTTCATTATTTACCTTTGTTTCCTGGCAGAAATTTGAGGTGGAACAAACTACAAGATGCAATTCCTCCAGAAATTGGGGAACTTAAAAGTTTGACGCATTTGTGAGTTACTCTTACCCTCCTTGTTAACTTTGGGTTTGTTAACAAAATTGTCAATTTGTCAATCATGGAAAACAACAGTTTGTTCAAATTTCGCTACAGTGCCATAGCCTCTATTTGATAACACCTAATACTGAATAGCATACCGCGGAATAGTAGTGATTTGTTAAAATTCCATTGTGCTATATTGCCTCTATAACCGCTAGTTGACAACACTCTGTTAGTCCTTTGTAAACAATTGAGATATGATATCCTTGTGCAGGTACCTAAGCTTTAATAATTTCAAGGGTGAAGTTCCCAAGGAGCTTGCAGATCTTCCCGACCTTCGCTACCTTTATCTTCATGAAAACCGTTTGATGGGAAGAATACCTCCAGAATTGGGCACTCTACAAAACCTTCGCCACTTGTAATTTTCAAATCCTTTTTAGAATCTTCTACTTTTAGAGGATAATATTTATATCTCAACTCAATTGCCTCATTATATTACTGTCATGCTTATAGGGATGCCGGTAACAATCATTTGGTGGGTACCATAAGGGAACTCATCCGGTTTGAAGGTTGCTTTCCATCACTACGCAATTTGTAAGTTCTTGTTTGTTTCAACTCGAAACATTGCCATTTGATCTTTAAATCTGCATTTATCTCTAAATATTAACAAATTTGTTATGCAAACCAGATATCTAAACAATAATTATTTTACTGGAGGAATACCTGCACAACTTGCTAACTTATCCAGTCTTGAAATCTTGTGAGTATTCCATTTTTACCGCGTATTTTCTTCCTTCTCTTTACACGTGTTTAGCAGGGCTATCAAACACGATTTTACTATGTCAAGATCTATATAGCTTGAAATTTTCCATAACGCAATGTTTGTTTGTTGGAGGCAGGTACCTGTCCCACAACAAAATGTCAGGAGTTATACCATCTAGCGTCGCTCTTATTCCGAAATTGACATACTTGTAAGTTTTTCACTCAATGCTATGTTTTTGATAGTTTCTTGGATCATTGGAATATGAATTATCAACTTCAAGATTTTCTAATCTTTTATTTCAGGTACTTGGATCACAATCAGTTTTCAGGGAGAATTCCTGAACCCTTTTACAAGCATCCATTTTTGAAAGAAATGTGAGTTTCCTACCTTTGAGTAAATCATACATTCTCTTGTGTTCACTGAACTGAACAATCTTACCACATTGTATTTGGCAGGTACATTGAGGGAAACGCGTTCCGGCCTGGTGTCAATCCCATTGGCTTGCACAAAGTGCTTGAAGTTTCTGATTCAGACTTCCTTGTTTAATGAAACCATGTCTTTATCTTTTCTGAAAGTCTAATAGTTCCTTTTATCTCAATGAAATAGCCAAAATAGGTGTTTCAATTTTTGCCAAATCTATGTTGTCACTATCAATAAACAATAGTTTTGTAAGTTTATTATTTATGACCTTATTCATGTATGTAGGAAGTTCATTATATTATAGATAGGTATAGTATGTACTCTTTATTTCAAATTTTAAAACAGAGGAAGTATAACGCTACCATAAATATACTGTAATAGCATTTGGAGGAAAAAACTTGCTCTTATTAATTCTCATTTCAAATTTCTAGATATGTTTGCTTTTATATATATAAAAAAAAAAAGAAGTACTAGATATGTTTATTTTTGTTTTCTTTAAACATACTCTAATTTTTTTGATAGATGAAAAGGCATAATTAACAATTTAGTAATAATCATGCACAAAATATATCACTAATTTTTATTATTATATGTAAAAAAATGTCAGTATTATAAAAACATAGGATGGATTACATTCTTAGATAAAAAATATAAAGCTTTACATGAGATCAAAGATGAATCACTATTGGATAAAGGACTCCCTGCAAGATATATTCATAAACAGAATAATGATTTTAATAGAAGCTAGTTAAACCTTGAATTTCTAGGATTTCTATTGATTAGAGTCCAACTGCATATGCATTTTCTCCAAAACTGAGTGAATTTCTTCCATTAGTGGATGTGTTTTTTCGCCTGCAATGAATTCACTTACAACACCATCAATCTCTACTGAGCTACAACCTGGTGTCTTGTTTGCTCCTTTGATTTTCATCATATCCCTCACCCTTCCAGCATTGCTGTGTTTCCCAGATGCTGAATACAAATTAGAAAGTAAAACATAGACTCCACTTTGAATGTGTTTATCCATCTGCAACACTTTTTCAGCAGCGAATTCAGCTAGTTGAGTTTCTCCATGATTACAACATGCACTCAAAAATGCTCTCCAAGCCAATGTCTCTTCAGAGTTATTCAAAGATTTGGTTATTTTTCTTATTATAACCATAGCTTCTTCAAAAAGCCCTGCTCTGCTTAGTAAGTCAACTAAACAACCATAATGTTCACTTTTTGGTTCAATGTTGAAAACACTACACATTTTATCCAATAACTTCAAACCTTCATCTGCCATTCCTGAGTAACTACAAGCAGTAAAAACAGCAATGAATGTTATATCATCAGGTTTAATCCCAACTTTTTCCATATCATGAAACAGCTTGAGTGCACCTTTTCCATCTCCATGCATTGCCATACCAGAAATCATAGCATTCCAACATACAATGTCTCTCTCTTGCATTGAATTAAATAATCTTTTGGCCGTTTCCAAGTCCCCGCATTTAGCATACATGTCTAATAAACTAGTACTTAATTGAACACTCAACGGTACTAGCTTTGATCGATTCAAATGTCGATGAATCCACACACCAATATCTGAAGCACCTAGATGAGCACATGCAGAAAGAATGCTCACAAATATAGATTCATCAGGCACTATATCAGTAAGCTGCATCAATCGAAACAAATAAAGACTTTCTTTAAAGCAACTATTTTGTACATAACCAGAAATCATGGCACCCCAAATCCCTTTATCCTTCTCAGGTGCTTCATCAAAGAACAACCTAGCTAAATCAACATCACCCACTTTTGCATATCCAGAAATCATCACACTCCAAGAAACTGCACTTAAGCTAGGAATTTCATCAAACACGTACCGTGCAGCTACAACATCACCAAACACACAATACATCATCATCAAACTATTACCCACAAAGATATCAAACACAAGACCCAATTTTGAACCATACCCATGAATCATCTTCCCCAAAGAACAATCCCGAAGTCCCGCACAAGCCTTCAATACATAAGGTATAGTGTAATTATCAGGTCTCAATCCATTCTGAAGCATTTTAACAAACACATGGAGGGTGCTTTTGAAATTGTTATTAAGGAGAAAAGCTTTGATGATTGTGTTGTATATACAAACTGTAGGGTTCTGAATTCGGTCAAAGACTCTACAAGCATAGGTGAGAGTTCCATGATGATGTTTGTGTGATGAACAGAAAGCTAAAACTCTGCTTAGAGCAAAGGTATTGTTTTCAAGACCTGTAGTGAAAATTTGTGCATGTGCTTGTTTGAGATGGTTCATGTTCTTGCATTTTTCTAATAGTACTAAGCATCTTTTGGTGCTACTTGACATGGGATTTGAGAATGAAACTACATTCAAAATCAAATTAGGATTTGAGAATGTGTTAGGACAAGATGTTTACATATTTTTCATAGAGAGTGTATTTTTCAATGGTTCAAAAGATGCATGAATAATGATTTACCCTACTCATGTCCATTGTGCCGTAATCATTAAATAATCTAAATGTTAGTAACCAATAAATGACATTTCTAATAATATATTTTTCTTCTTTTTTTGTTTCATTGTACCTAGTATTATGTGATTGTTTTTATTTTTTCTTAGCGCAATGTGTCACACCCTAATTTTTGACCTTAAGATTCCACCTCCATGTCTGTTTTCTGCCGTGTTTTATTTTACTTTTGCGTGTGTTTATTAAGACTAACTAGTTTATTCATATGCATTTGATCTTAAATAGTATTTCAGAGTACGACCAGGTGATCTCAATTTCGAAACAAGCTAGGGGTTTGTTTCTGCTTGTTCTAATTATAATTAATGCTCTCAGTCTTTTTGTCTTTTAACAATATTTCTCTTGTAAGCTTTGTTATGACCAGGTGAACCTCATTCTCATGTTCAACTAGTGGTGAGCGTAGGTTGTGATTGTGAGGCAACGTTACTATCTTTTTGTTACAAGTGAAGAGAAGTACGAGAAGTGTTATTAGGGGAGGGTGTTTCATCAAATATCTCCTATGCTATTCATTGTCGTCCGGATATTGCCCTCAGATACCGTTTATTATTCACTCAATAAGGGAAAGTCCCATTCTTATTGAAAGAGAACCATTGAACACTTTGTCATCATGATCACATTATCACAAAGATGAAGACACGTGAATCTTTTTACTTCCTACCATTTGACTCAAAGTAACAACAGGTTCTAAGTTACAATTTTGAAGTATTACAAATCAGTTACATTCAATTCTTAACAGCGTCTACAAGACTTCTACCGGCACTTGTCACGACCAAGATTGTGAGGAGCCTCGTTGTTCCTAACAACAATGCCTTAAAGTGATTATGCTTAACCAACGGCTCTCTGCGGAAAGACTGGCAATAACTGAATTTGACGATCCCCCTCAGAGTTGTAACAGTGAGGCCAGGAAGTATCAACCGAGCATCATCCCATGGTCTAAAGGAATTGGTCAGTAGGATCCTCCTTGAGTTGATGGAGAAGAACTTGAAAAATTTGCAAGAAATATCCCTGAAGAATGTGTCCATTCAAAAGGTAAAGACCTGCAAAAGCTCCTAAGTCCAGCTACCTGAAAAGGGGAGAAAAGTAAGCAACAGCAACAACGTAATTCCGTCATACCGCAATCATGTGACGAGTTTCAAATCCATGGAAATCCACAAGTTACACATACATAGCTGCAAGATTAAGGGAGCAGAGTCACGACATCTCTTCACGCCCAAACCTCGTATTTTGTTCTCACCGTCCTCGCCATCTCCGATCCACAACCTGCAGTTATCCACTACACCGGTTGAGAAAACTTGAGAGGTATAAGCTTGTAAACTAAGGAATTCAACTCCAAACTTCCGCCGACGCAACTCGAATGTAGCTTCACAACCTACATTCACAATGAGAAAGCTTAGAGCAAACCATCTACAATCATTGACCAATCTTAGAAGTATATACATAAAATGGAACAGGGTGGCTGCGGCTACCTCACATCATAAAGCTACACTAAGCACTTTATGACAACCTCACAATAATCTACCTGCGGCAAAGGAATTATGCAGACGCCGTACCCTGCTACAATGAGGCCCACATCATTGGCCAATTTCGTTCACGCAAGACTGTCCCAAGATTATATTGCAGAACTTTCAGAAAGGAGGAAAAGAGGACGTACCGTGTTACTACTAGTTCCCATACAGCACAGACGGGCTTAGTCCCAGATAATTGCATTGACCATGGAGTTTTCACAATACAGTAGCATGAATAGAACAAGGAGCAGTCTTATATATCCATGTACTGCAATTCATAACTTTAGGTTGATACCGGTCCTTAAATATAGCCATGAATTCATGCTTTCATGACAGCGGCAGTAGTTCAGGCGACTCAGACAACCAAGATCAACGCAGCGCGGCGTGGCCATTGGTCTGTTAGAAAAAAGAATGATAAGGCTATCAGTAAAGCATTCTCTTCCTGACGCGAATAAATCACATAAGATGGCATGACAAAGGATTTTATGGATACCTTAAAGGTGTTTTGATCCTGGAACGCTTATGAAATCTTCAAACCTGCTGAAGATTGGTGCAGGTGAAAACCGCCTACCGGGCACTTCGCATTGTTTTATCAAAACAACGGCGCAGCTGCGACTTTCCGCCTGTTACCCAATCGAAGCTGATGAAGTGGAAGAACAGCTACCGCAACTGGTGGACACACCATTTTCCTGTCGAAAAACCAGAACTTAAGTGAGAGCGGATTCTTACGCAGATAACAGGATAAAGTTAGTCTTGGGAGAACTTACCAACAGAAGAATTGATGTTGAAACCTTTACTTTCAAAAAGAAATAGAAAAGGACTTACTCAAGCCAAAGTAGGCATGACAGGGGCTCTCTATTCAGAACAAAGCTGAGGTCCGCGGCAACTTCTGCGGCAATTTTGTCAATTCACAGGAAGTGGCAACATATGCTAGAACGCGAGCTATAGCCGTTCCTTGCTTCACGCTTGAAAAGCAACCTAGTTTATCAATTGCACACTTAAGGCTTTGCGATAACAAAGGCCACCTGCGACATCGAAGGGAAGCATGATGAGCATGAGCTTTGTGATTAAAAAGAACATAGCTTAAAGTAACAGG